ACTTTCGACGCCGTTTCGAAAGTTTGTGGAGTAAACCATCATTCAAAAATCTGGCGCTCGAGAACCGCTCGTAACCAGCGTTATTCGTAAGGAACCGTTTTCTCTGTGGCGAGAAAACCCCTTACAATATAGGATCCATGTACTAGGGAATAACTGCCAAACAATAAACTTTAACATGAAATATTTCGTAAAATTTATTTTGCTACATCTGAGAAATGCCGAAAAATTTCATTTCACGTCAAAAAATATCTGGACGTTCTAGAAGGTTAAATCGAGCTATATAAGTCGATGATCCTGACATCAGACAGTTTTATGATAGACGTTATATACGTTAATCGGTTGTAAAGATGCCAAAAACCAGCGTAACAATTATACGGAGTGGCCCAAAGGTCTCGAAACGGCCAATTATCTCGTAAATTGCTAATCCTAATTGTACAAAATTTGGGGTACATCTATTTTGGGATACGGAGATTCCAGATTTGATATTTACAATGTTGCCAGATTTACCGTTTCTCTTATATTATTAGTCACTTTGGTTTTTAAAATTCATCACCCTGTATATTCAGTCATTATTGGAATCTCCTATTCAATACGAGTTCAACCATATGTAACACTTATGATTTTATGTAGTCTAGAAGGTATTAAATAAATAAAACAATAATTGAGAAATGTCGTAGACGCATTCTACCATCGATTAGGGTACTGTCAACTCACAAATGGAGCACATTTTGAACACTTGATAAAGTAACCATTATGTTAAAAATGTTATAATCTTTCAATTGTTACGTTTTAATGTAGTTGAAAATAGTTTGCATTAAAAAATTTATTGAGACAATTAGGCGTTGCCAGATTTATTTTATTTATTTAAGACCTTCCAGACTACATAAAATCATAAGTGTTACATACGGTTGAACTCGCACTAAATAGGAGATTCCAATAATGACTAAATATACAGGGTGATAAATTTAAAAAACCAAAGTGACTAATAATTTAAGAGAAACGGCAAATCTGGCAACATTGCAAATATCAAATCTGGAATCATCGTATCCCAAAATAGGTGTACCCCCAATTTTGTACAATTAGGACTAGCAATTTACGAGATAATTGGCCGTTCCCAGACTTTTGGGCCACTCTGTATGTGTCCAGCAAAACGCTGTATTTGTGTACTATTGGTAATACATACATTATACATTACTAAAACGTAATAACTAAGACAAAAAAACTTCACAAAAGCGCTCCTCTGGTCCTCTACATGACTCGTTTTTTTTTTAATTATCTTTAGAGAGTTAAAAAAGTCTTCATGTTGTATTCGTATTCAGCGTCCAGCATTGGATCAAAAGAAATATGACCACTAATGGAAGGTTTTAAATGACACCATTGTATAAAAATATATATTTCATAATACTACTAAGGATTATTGTATTACAGGCTTGAAGATGACCCTGTGAGGCCGAAACTAGTCTCTGTATTTAATTTAATAAAATTGATGTATTGATTTTGAGATTTTATTCTTTGATTGAGTAAATTGACCACATTTGAGATATGAATAATTTATCATTCATACTATATATTATACAGATGATACTGCACTTTACTGATTCCACAAGGGAAGGATGTCACTAAGTCAGATCTAGAAAAAATGTATTGTTGGCTAAATAATAACATGCTATCGTTAAATATTAGCAAAACTGGGTGTATGACCTACTCTACCACTATTCGAGATCAACTAATAATACAAATATTAAATTACACAAAACCCATTGTTTCAATAAAGATAATTGCAATTGTCAATATACAGGGTATCTTATTAGTACGTAATAGTTCAATATTTTAATTTGTGTTATAGACACGCAAACAAGTTTCAAATAAAAGTAATACGGATTTGAAAAATACATATTCTATAAACATTTTTGGATGCGTTTTTGCCTGAAAAATAAAAATTTATGTTTTTGAAATGGAACACCCTGTATTTTATTTTATTTTTAGAATGGTTTGATAATACTGTATTCAACCTTAGAATGTTTTAAAAAATATTACAGTATTGTTGAGCAATTAAATTTTTTTTTTAAATTAGAGAATGATGCAGACCCCTAAATAAATTATCATAATTTAGGCAGGTTTACATTGATTTCAAAATTGTTTAATACAGACTTATGAAATACTAAGCTAACGAATAGTGGTGATAGAACTGGTTTATTTTATACAGAGTGTTTTGACACAAGTTTTAAATAGGGCTAATTTTAAGTTCAATTTACTCATTTTTTTCAAATGCAACATCCTGTATATTATCTTGGCATAAAATTCTTTATAAATTTTCCTATACAATAACACATATGCAAGGGTGTATTAATAGTGCGTAATTAATCGATACCTGTTTCATTATAAAAAATATAAAGAATTTTTTAATATAAAAGTTGTATGACCATATTTAACAATTATTCTTAAATATACATGATGGTTCCATAAACGAGGTGCTGACAAAATCTATACTATTTTAAAGAAAAACGCCCTATAGGTAGTGATACATATTTTATTGTTTTCACATCGCCAAATAAAGGAGTCAATATTTTACCCTCAACATTTCTGCGTAGTTTTCAATAACGGTGCTCAATTATTTAAAAAATTTATCGCAATTTACAGCTGTTATTTTTTGGATTTTGGATCTTTGAATTTTTGGATTTTTAGATTTTTGAATTTTTGGATTTTTGAATTTTTGAATTTTTGAATTTTTGGATTTTTGGATTTTTGGATTTTTGGATTTTTGGATTTTTGGATTTTTGGATTTTTGGATTTTTGGATTTTTGGATTTTTGGATTTTTGGAATTTTGGCTTAAAAATTTAACATATGTGTGTTAATTTTATGCTTTAAGGTTTTTACAGCGCCCCCTTATAATTTTCGGACAAGGATATCTCAAGAAAAAGTAATTTTTAAAAAAATATAAATTTTGGCTAAATAAATTAAGCAATAATATCTAGAATATGCATATTTTTTAAAGTTTTAATTCCTTCCAGTTTCCGAGAAAAAAATCAAAGGGCTTTGAATTTGGAAATGTCATGATGAAAATAAATGCATTCTTCAACAGCACTATTCTTAATATAATCCCGAAATTTAAGCTCTTAATGTCGTTTTAATAATTCGCCTAAATTAGTGGCTAAAACGCCTCGTTAAGTGCTGCCTTCTGTTGTAACGCGACTGTAACTATCGCATCGTAATTCATGGATTATATTAAGCTGTTGCGGAATGCATTTATTTTCATAATGAGATTTCAAAATTTAAAACCTTTTGATTTTTTTTCTCGGGGAATTAAAACTTTAAAAAATATGCTTATTCTAGATATTATTGCCTAATTTATTTTGCTAAAATTTAAATTTTTTTAAAAAATTACTTTTTGAGATATCCTTGTCCGAAAATTATAAGGGGGTGCTGTAATCACCTTAAATCGTGGATATTGTAACGTTTATTTAATTTATTTATAGTTTATTTATTTAAAACACTTTATTTACAATTTATCCTCCATTATACTTTTAAATCCTATTACAGCATTTTTAATTCGATTCACAGGGTCTTAAAATACTTAAAACGAAGGGATTTGATAACATAATTGCGTTAAGACCAACGGATTATTGATAGTTTTTTAAGTTTTAATTTTGCGTGCAAAAAAATCATAAAAGTTTTGAACAAAATCAAATTAGTTTCTAAATAAATTAAGATTGTATGCAGCGCAGTGTACAAAAGGATAATTTCTCGCAACTTTGTATTTACTTTAAAATGTTATTTCTAAGTTTTTTCTGAAGTTTGATTTTCAATTGGAATAGAGCCTAAACTCTGTCCCATAAACCAAGGAAACATTTTAAAAAATGTGGGAATTTTAAAATTTATATTTTTGATAGTTGAACCGCTTGCCACAGATTATTGAAGTCGCGGGGCTGGTTCCACCGAGCCCACGGAACCATGACAGAAGATCTATTTTATATTAAAATACCTACGGTAATGGCTCACATCAAGGGATTTTTTCTTTTATTTTCACCAACCGGTGTGACGATTTGGTCTCGTGAGATACGGGCATTTTTAAGATCCGGTACACAGTAAAAACAACTATGGTAAACGGAATTGTCATAATTTATACCAGCCTTACTGACGATTAATTGTTTCGCAAAATTCGCCAAGTTATATGAGTATTCTACTTTTCGTAGAGTATCATCTCGGTGGGCGCAGCAGTCTTAAGTGCTTGCATTCATTTACAAATCAATTTCGTGGTTGAAAGACACGCGGCTTTGAATCGTCCACCAGACAATGTGAATGTTTTTAATTAATTTGCATGATTCGTTATAAGATTTGATGGATGCCGTATTAGCAGAAATGTAATTTCTATTGACATGACATCCAAATTATAAATCGCCATGCGCTACCGTTTCGATGGTGGTGAGTGGGGTTTTCCGGGTTTTCCTCACCAGTAAGTCAAAAGGCACCATCAATAATCTTCAAGTCGCCCCGGAACGCCACGGCAAATAATAATAATAGCCGTCTTTTCCCGGACAAGCTGAGCTTTTGGGGTTAAAATTAACTCGTAATGGGGTGAATTAAGGAAAATATTATTATAACAAGTCTTTGAGTATTCTGGACCCTACTGAAAACCGAAAAAGTTTAAAAATAGTTTTTAACACTTATTTGTTATAAAATGCCTTTTAATTCTAATCTAATATTTACAGAAGCTGTATTGTAATGTACTGTTGTTCAATAGTCTTGTTGTTTTTTATAGTTTCAGTAACTTGTAATTTATTTTTGTACTTTACTTGCCTGATTAAATTTTTGTACATGTGTATAAATATTTTGAATTGATGAATAAATTGTATTAATAGTATTATTACTATTACCAATTTAATTATTAAAAACTTCTTGAAGTTGAATATCAAAATTTCATTGGATTAGATTAATGGTTATTTTATAATACTAAAATGATTATACAATTTACGCAATATCTATTATTCATAATACTTACATAATTTTTCTATAAAAATTAAGTTACTTTCTAGTTATGACACTTTCTAACCAAATACACGTTATTTCTACAAAACCAAGTCATTAAAATTCGTAACACCCGGTAAAATAAAGCGTATTGCAATGATCAACAAAACACAAATAATTCAACAATAGCAAACCAACTCACGATTATTTGTCATATGAGTGAAACAGCGAGGAACTGAACCCAACCATTGTGGCATTGTATAAATAAAAGAGAGTTAGGTAGTGGTAGGGATTTCTTATCAAGATGCATCAATTAATTATTTATCTGAATATATCTTCTAGATGTTCTTATTACAACACATATAGAATGGGCTTAATGAACAAAAAAGTTGTTTTTGCTATGACATCCAAAACTGGATAAATAAACAATTATCTCACGCACCAACAAGAGCAACATCAAATCTTTTATTTAGAAGAATCTAGGATTAGATTAGATTAGGATTTGAGACCTAATTAAGTTTTTAGATACAGGGGGTGTTCTAAAAGTATGTACCAGGCATTTCATGAGTTGTCTTAATTTTTAATATATCTTCAACTATCCAAAATTTGAGAAAGCTCGTAATACATGTATCTTCCTAGATGAAGCCGCATGACACTCCTTATACATTATTAACATAAAATGTGCTAATTCGTTATAGCTTGGGAGTGTGAAATTTGTACGTTGCAGGCTCTATCCTCGGCTATCGTTTTCTGAAAAACGTAAACGCTTTAGTAACATACGAGTTATTCGCTATTCTTGACATTAGTTTTAAAAGCGTGTACGTTTTTAAAACGGGTGTTTTACAGCAAGCGGAATTTTTCACTCGTTTTTGATAAAACATGCATGTTTTTAAGGATTTGGTCAATATCATTTATATGTCACTTTAAGGATTAGTAATATTGATTAATTTTTACAAATTCTACTGTTTATTTATACCTACAAAAGTATCTTATTTCTTGTTAATATGGTTTGCAGTACTAAAAAAGTTTAATAGCTGAGAATTTCTTTGAATTATTGTTTTTTTTTTTTTTTTTTTTTTTTTTAATTTGGTGTCATCGGCGTCGACTACTACGGCCATTAGCCTCGTGTTCTGTGTAGGCTTTGTTACTGTTTCCCAGCGCCACTTTAGGAACAGCACTGTTAATTAGAACCCAACAGTGAATGGTCGAGTGGGGAATCCTACCAAGGCATCAGAATTAATTTTAAATAATTAAATTAAATGAAAAAATCCCGGCCAACGGTGGGATTCGATCCTGAGACCTTCCGATCTCAAAGTCATGACTCTAACCACTGAGCCAACCCACCCCCCCTTTTTGAATTATTGTTAATACAATAATTAGTACAATTAGAAAACTTGGAAGATAAGAATGATGAAAGATTCAGACATGCAGAGGCAGAATCCATTTTTTTGAATTTAATGGATATTGAATGAATATTTTTTATATCGTATCGTGTAAGAACTTAATTATTAATTCATGTATATTTTATTTACAGATATTAATTTGCTTGCGGTTTCTTGCAAGTGGTAGTTCGAAGCTCTTCTATCTATATCACATGTTGTGTCCAGAAATTTTAACGATTTTGTAAAATTGCCACAAATATTAAAGAACTGAATGGGATAAGCAAAATTATTATTTAAATTAATTTTGTACCATAAAAACTAGGTTTTTATGACGTACGATTTTCCTAAAATTATAGGTTGCATTGAATGCACCCGTATAGCTATTTTTCCACCAAAAATTAACGATTTAGTTTATCCTGAACATTGATATATTATGTGATTAGAAAAAATCATTATTCGATAAATTTACAATTGATTTGTTGTAGTGTGTTGTAATTAAATTAGATGATCCTTATTTTTTTATGACCTGCACATTACTTGAATTTGGTGATATAGACAGTTTACAGTGATGCCAGACATATTATTTGTTTGTTAAAAACGTACACGTTTTAAAAAACGAATGCTCATCGAACGCCAGTCAAGAATATAGATTTCAAAAACTACTCGCTTTTCAACCACTCACTTTCGAAAACGGTTCGATTTTTTAGCGATTGTCGAGTATAGCCGCCCAGAATGTCACTTTATAATCTAAAATTGACGTATTTCGGGATTTTTTTATAAATATACACAGTAATTGAGCTAATGAATTTATTCCATTTGGTTGTTTCACTCTGTATATTATAGCCTAGATACCTTTGTCGCATTTAGGTATATTTGTTTTCTCATAACTGGTGCTTTCCAACTAATTTTTTCCTATGTTCTTCTGACTTACAACCGGTTGCAGGAATGTTCATTAAAATTTACTAGCCTGTTAAATATTGGTACATGTTTAGACGATAAGTAATTTGAAGTTTATGTTATTTATGCCGGTTTCACCAACTATAAATAAGGTGTTATTCAAAGAATAACTTTAATCGTAGAATAAAAATTGTCAATTTTATTTCACCAACGTCAAATAGCGCTATTCGATGATTAAATTGACATTTAAATTAACTAACGAAATTTCGACTATTAAATATTTATTTGACGTTTAATAACCTCAAATATTATTTTATTAGATAAAATTCGATTGTGTTATTTCATTGATTACATTTATGTATTAGTTTGTTTACGTTTTTAGTGATGGAGAATAGGTAAGAATTAAATATACCTATTCCTTTAAATAAGTATTTAATACTTATTTAATTTTACTATTGCAGATTTTTATCATCATCATCATCATCTTCTTCGTCAACATCATCTGATGAAGAGGATAGACCTCCAAGACGACCTCGATTAGTTTTGGTGAGAAGAAATCCCATAACTGAGTACGATAATGTGGACTTTAAAATTAAATTTAGATTATCCAAAGAATGTGTCGAAGAAGTCCTCAATTTAATAGGAAACAATTTAGATCATTTAAGTAACAGAAACAGTCCCATCAGTCCTATGAATCAATTACTTATTACTTTAAGATTTTATGCTACAGGATCGTTTCAAATATGCATGGGAGATAATTTTAATGTTTCGAAAGCAACAGTATGTCGTGTTGTAAAGAAAGTGACACACCACCTGGCCTTGCTTCGTCAACAGTTTGTTAAAATGCCTCAAAATGGTAATAACCGTGTGCAAATTCAAAACGGATTTTACAGAATGAGTGGATTTCCACGTGTGATTGGAGCTGTTGACTGTACACATGTACGTATTCAGTCACCAGGTGGGGAACATGGAGAATTATATAGAAATCGAAAGGGATGGTTTTTTATTAATGTTCAGGCAATATGTGATTCGAGATTAATAATAAGAGATATTGTCGCACGATGGCCTGGTAGTGTTCATGATTCAAGAATTTTTAATGATTCATTGATCTGAGCTCGTTTTGAAAATAATGAGTACCCCGACAGTTACCTTTTGGGAGACAGCGGTTATGCATGCATAAAATACCTACTTACACCTCTATTACATCCTCTAACAGCGTCAGAACATGCTTATAATAACGCACATATAAGAACTCGTAACGTAATAGAAAGGACTTTTGGAGTTCTAAAACGACGTTTTCCATGCCTATCTCTAGGACTTCGAGTAAATGTAGACACTGTTTTGGCTATAATTGTAGCATGTACGGTTCTGCATAATATTGCCACTGAAATGGGTGACAATGATCCTAACGAAGATCCTAAAATTGTGGTACCCATATTTGATGATGCTGGAAATATTGACCATAATTTAGAAAATGAAAATATGGCAGTTCGAAGAGCTTTAATAAATACAGTTTTTGCTAGATAAAAATACTTTATTAAAAAAACAGAATTAAATATTTTTCTTTTCTTCATATTGTAATATTTTAATTTTTAATTCATATTCTTCTCTTTCTTTAATTATATCGAGAATTTCCATTTTCTTGTCGTGTTTTTGTTTTTTCATATTTAATACCTGTTGCTGATATTCAGAAATAGTATTCTTTTTTTCTTTTAAATTTTTGAAAAACGCCTTGTTGCATTGCTTTTCCCTTTTAGGCACTAAAGAAACTACAGTAGGTGTAGTAGTTGGGACTACAGTTGGTGTTGTAGTTGGGGTTGCTGAACTTGGACTTAAAAGGTTCATATCGGCTTCCACTACAATATTGGTCTGTAGATCGGTATTTGAGTCATAACGATTGTCATGTCCTTCTGCTTGAGTTCCTAATAAACTCAATACCCGTGTGTCACAACTGCTCATTTTTTGCGAAGTACTGCCTCCGCCAGTTTTATATACTTCAACCTAAAAAAATGTAAAATACTATAAAAATGTGGTTTGAAATAAATAAAGTATATAAAATATAGTATTATTTATTATAAAGTTTATTTACCTTTTCATCAGCTTTATGTTTTTTGGCTGTCTTTTTTAAATTATCATAAAGCAATTTGAGTTGAATACCATTGCGCACTCCTGTTTTTGCTGTACTATTGTACCATTCTGCAATTTTGTTCCATGCCTCAGTTTTTATTTTTGAGGAAACGGCATCTGTTTTTTTGTTTTCAACAATATCTTTAAAATCTTCCATAATAATCAACAAATTCTCCTTCTCTTCTTCTAAATAATTTTTACTTCGTTCCCTTTTCCTATCCATAATTTTCGCTGTTATTGATATTGTAATATTCGATTGTAACTGACAATAAGTGTCAAAAGTGACAGTACATATGTTCTTCTTTTCATGTATCTGATTAAAATACATAATTCAATGAATAACTAACTGATCATATAAAAATGTTGATGAAACGTCAAAATACTTAACTTCAGAATAAGTTATTCATTGAATAACTATTCTGTGATTTATTTACTGTCGGTGAAACAGATTAGATTTTCAAACTGTCAGAGTATATCAGGGTTTATACATTTTAATGAACGTTCTCTATATAAAAGAAATAATTTCCTTACTTAAAAAAAATTAATTTATCTTCTTGTACAAGTAAAAGGTGGAAAGGCTTTTAGTCGGGTCGGTAGTGTAGCGGTCGGGTCGGTAGTGTAGCGGTCTAACGCGCTTATATTCATTTATAGGCAAGTTTATGAGTCTGAGACTGCTGCGCTTCGAATCCCAGACCAGACCATGTGGATTTTTAATTAAATTGCATGGTTCGGTTTAGGATTTGATGTGTGCCGTATTAATAGAAATTCAATTTCTGTTGATATGACATGCAGATTAAACAAAAAAAATCGCCAT